ATTCACGGATGTAGAAGACAAGAAACAACTTCAGATGTAAGCACGACGAAAATTTTAACAAAATTATGCAATAACAACAAGATACGAAAACAACGAGTAAACACAACTGATCCAAAATCACAAATTGCGAAGACACACCACACGTATACACAAACAGTACAAATAACCTCGCGGATCATATCTTGACGGAATTCCTTTGAAGAATCGCAGGACTTACACCAGTACGCCTACAACCCTTCACAGGTTGACGATTGTAAGTTGTGGAATGTCCGGACAAAAACAAGATTAACCAACAATTTCGATAATTGGAACTCACCCAACTATTTAACACAAACATATTTACAATCACTACATCAAATGTTGTGGATTCTGACACGACAAACTACCCTTGAAGAACTGTAGGACTTACAGCAGTACGCCTACATTCCTTCTCAGGTTGATGATCCAAGTGGAAGTCGTCCGTACACAAACAGAATTACCAACAGCTAGATGACAGATGATGCCAATTCAGTATATACAATATCAACATATGTACAAAATCACACACCAAGCACAGTGGACTGCTCATTTATGCGCTACCCTTCGAAGAATTGTAGGACTTACACCAGTACGCCTACAACGCTTCTCAGGTTGACGCACTAGGTTGGAAAATCGTCGCAGAGTTCATTTGCAAGCTTCCTTCTATGAGCTATATCCTCAAATCTGAACGGCAACACGCCCATGTCATTGTATCGTAGAATATAGATGACGAACAAACACACGACGTATCTGATCAACCAAGTGTAGAAACAGAGTAATTTACACCAAAGATAATAGCATTCAATTAGTAACTTGAAACTAGAAATGCCTTGGTTCATGCAAGTCAATTTAACAATTACTCTCTCGTTTACACTTGGTTTATCCACACTAAACTGAGCAATATCTTTCGTCTTTTCAAATGCGCCAATACTATCATAGTCATTGCACAAGATACTTGAGTTGATGGGCGTCTGTTTCATTGTGGATGAAAACACCAACGATGACTGAGTGACACAAGGTGATGAAGTTAGCGGTGGATCAGAAGCTGTTCTTTTTCGGCTTTCAGATAGTTGTCCAACTGCAAGATTACCACCACTGCTGTCTTTCACTACTAGTTCGGGTTTAGCACTATCATCTGATGATAGGTGGGCTACACGCTGATCAATTACACTGACTGTCTCACAAGTATGCACAACTTTTGGAACTGCATCTGCGTTCAATTCTACTTCACGTTGTAGTTGTACAGAACCTTTATTTAACTTAGCAGTAGTAGGCATATCCCGCATCTCATAACTATCAACCAAAGACAAATTAGCACTATCATGATCATTACCACAAATATTCAATTAACCGTCAAGTACATCATTTTCAAACTCTTTAATAACAGAAGTAGACAATTTTGGTTCGTCCTCAAAAATCATTAAAGGTTTTATATCTTCACTCTGACTAGTTATACCTTGTAAACTTGTGGAGTCAGAACTGCACTCTGAAGCAGTAACTCTATTCTGTGACACTCTATTCAACAATGGCTTACCGGTTGCAACTACAGACTTCTTCACCGCACCGTTATCGTCACACAATTCGGAGTCAGGCCTGGAGTTTACATTTGGCTTATCACTGAACTTGCTCACCGGTTCACAGCTAACCTTTGTATGCACCTCTTGCAAACGTGTACAACACAACCGTGTTTGTCTTGCATCTTGCAACTTATCTGTTGAGGATGTACTACGAAAGCTGTTACACTCACTAGATCTATATGCATTACTAGACATCATCGAGCCTTCTCGATATCCACCTCTCTGAGGCTTATTCGTCATCAATGATTGCGTTTTACCCTCAGACTGCTCTATTCTATGGGTGAGATTCAATATACTGGCAAACTTGCTCATCGATTGATTGACACTATCTTTTACTAGTTTCAGGATATCATCAAACTTTGGCTCGATACCCTCATCCTCCATACGGGAGCTTATCTTCACCCACTTCCTTTGCAGTCGAGTAGGTAGGCGTATTGCTATTACTTCTAGTATATAACTCGAGTTGAGGTCACTCGTGCGATTCATCGAAATCATTCCATTCTTGTAAATTAGCAAATTATCTAAAAAGTCAGTGAGTGCCTGGGAGTCATCCTGTAATTGACCACCATTACCCTCAACAGCCTCGAATAATTTCCCTACAATCATTGAAGGTCTTCCAAACCTTTGACGTAATATGCTCATAGCCTCGTAGTAGCCCTCCTTTGGCTTCATAAACTTACAGCACTGTATAGCTCTTGCAGCATCTACAGTGCAATATCTCATCAAATACATTAACTTCAATTCATCATTTAATAAAAAACCACTCAGCATGATCTCAAACTCCTTTACAAATTGTAAATAATCAGCCGGGTTTCCATCAAAACATCGTGGTTCAAATTTAGGGAGTTTGATGTTCCTATCATCCCTGAACGACGAAACAGTAACATCAACCATGTCATACTTAACATCAGACACATCGTTACAATTAACAGACAAGTCACCATGACTTACTTTCCTGTTTGCATCCAAGACACTCTGTCCCTTCTTTGACCAAGGCATTGTTGAACTTGGCCCAATTCCAAAAACGTTCCAGATATTGCTTGTTCAAAGAGGACTTGACCGGCACCAGGAAACATGAACGGTGACTATCCAAACTTTCACCAACTGTCTGAATCGGCCAGAGTCTGTTTCTACCATCAGAAACTGTCAGCCACGTCTCGTAAACCGTTAATGCCCAGCTCTTGCTACGCTCGGGCTCACGCTGTCGCTTGAAGTTTCTCAGAAACGCTTAGTGATAATGGACGAAAAAACCAAAACACCGATTGGCCACTCGAGAATTCTTTATTGTTACACCAACATATAAAAATAATGTTTTTACCAGGTCTGTGAACAAATATTACAATAATAAATCACAAGATTACTTCTGACGATGTTTCACTCTTCTTTCTGAACAGCGACCGATGAGACGATGACTGTCGTATTGATGCCTCCGCGAAAATTTGGGAAGTTGATTTTAAGCAAACAACCATGAATTGATCGTTCAATCTTCAACTCCATTGACAGTTGTATTTACCTTACACAAAAATTTGCCACCAATTACTTTGTCAGGTCTCATAAATAAGTCATCCCTGCATCTAGTCATCATGGCAAATACATAGCTACACTCAGATAGAGTAAGAAAAGTCTGGTAAGCATGATGTTAAATATATTTAATGAAAAATAATAACAAACAAATATCTTTACGCAGTTGTTTGTCGTAATAATTTGGGCAATGTTGAATCGCTGTGACCGGGTTGACTGACGTTATCGAATACCTGCAAATAAGTAGACAAAGTGTTTCTTTAAATCGCTGAAGTAAGAAAGAAGTAATATTAAAGGTAAACGCTTTATATCTGCCTACCTTTGCTGAAAATGGTTCATTCTCCTTTCTCATTCTTCGTTCATGACAGAATTCTTCTGTGGTTTTTACTGTCACACATATTGTTCATCTTCTTAAAGGATAGCAGCAAGCGAATAATAATAATTTCATATGTCGTATAAACGAATGTTTACAAAGAATGCATGTCATTACTGCAGGTGCAATAAGTTATGCTATAAACTGCAACCGTGAAGTATCATAACTTAGTACTTCTTCAAAAGTTTAAGTCGTTCAACTATTGTACGAGTACTTAGAACAGGTTATGATAAGAGTTAAATTGTAAACCCTTCACAATGAACACCGTACATTTGGCTAAGTGCTATGTCCTTGGAATGTTAGTATACATTTGTAATGTTTAGTGCCAACCATATCGGTGCAAGCATAGAAAATGTGACGTTTTCCACGAAAATACAGCTTTGCCCAAACACTGGTTCTGTTGTCTATCTAATAAAAACAACCAGACTGTAAGCAAGCAACTAATAGGCACAAAGAGTAAGTCTCAGCTTTAATAAAGGCATATCCAGTTAAGATAAAATGTATTGTAATAGTGCACAAATGAAAATACCATCGTGAAGTAGATAAGTGATATTTCGGTGACAGGTAAATTGAAAGATCTGCAACCTTACAATTCGTAAGACAACCTGACATGTAACATCTCTCACAAATTTCTGTAGGGCCTGTGGGGCACCATGGATGGTTTGCCGTTAATCTGAGCTTTTGAAGGATGATTTACAAATGCAAAAGGTAATAACCATCGAGACTGAGGTAGTATTTTCTAGCTGTTCCACATTTTTTCCTTTGATGCAGTTTCTTATCAACAGTTTGCAGTATTCATAGTGGGTTTATAGGAACCTTCATTGTATCATGATTTTCACCAAATCTCCCTTAACTCACAGAAGCAGGCAATAACCCCATATACTCAAGCATTGTAACCAGAACATCAAAAAATGCTTACATATAACTTGTTTAATAATAACTGCTTTAAATATATGAGCCATAAGTGCATCTTCCATATCTTTCATAGCTACAATTAAGTCATTAAGGATCTCAGAATATCTTAGTGATCTGAAACAAAATAATTATTAAGACTGATATAACCTATGTAACAGGTGCAGTAGCTGTATGACACAGCTGCTAGCTACTAATCAACAGAAAGCTGATACTCAATTTAAGTACTCTGACATTAAGTGCTCTGCCATTGCCTGTAGTATATTTACAACCTTAGGATCTGAAACAACTCGCAAAAACCAAACCCTCAACGCACTATGATGCAAATAATAGTCTTTCTATGCGAACTTTCTTAAGAAGGATGACTTCTTTATTAATAATTCGTCCGAGCTATAATACACAACTTTACGCTCTACGACGAACAAAATACAGCAAAATACTGCTTTCTGGCTACAGAAGTCTAAAACTAATCAAATATAATCTATTTCCCCAAAAATAGGTGATTATAATGCCTGTAGTCGTGAGCGCGGTAACCAATAAAGTTTCGCGAGAACACCTTGTCATAGCCTATATCCTTAGACAAGGAAAAAGCACGTCGTATTCAAGGAGCGCGCGTAAGGTCATGTATGCTAATATCGGCAGTATAGTATTCTTACTTCTGACATTACGTTTATATCACGAAGCTTATAAAATGTCTGATGATCCAGGTGTCTTCAAGGGGGGAGCAAATAGTCAAATTTCTTTAAATCTGCTAATTAGCGCTAGCACTCTATATTGTTATATTTCTTCAGCCCGTTCATCTTTCTAGGTCTTGTCAAGGCAAGAGTGAAGTGCGCTTAATCGAAATTACAAAGTCGGCTTCTCGGCTTTCGCGTAAATGTCTAACAAACGCCCCTCATTGACTGCTTCAAAGGGACCCAGCTCATTCAAAAAACCAAGGTAAGCTTCTGACTTCGTGTAAAGTGCTTCAAAGTAATTTAATTATTTACTGAATATAGATGGAATCGCTTCTATGCCAACCAATTTTCTCTTAGCTAAAATATAGTGAATACAAACATTGCACCTTAGGAATTAGCAAAACTACTGTGAAGTTAAAAAAGGACTTGTCTTATACAGGCAAGTAGGACGATGGATAAACAAAAGGATGACTTAATCAGTTAAGAACTTTAGCCACGTGTTCATATGTCTAAAGTATATGATTCAATTTTAGTCGGTGTGATCAGGCGATCTTACATTATATTGCTTAGTGCATTGCAGGCATGGTGTCTAACCATTTCATGAAATATCGGAGTATGCTGGCTTCATTAACGTCCTTGGTTTATTAGAATCCTCGTTGTTCTCGATGTGGACTGACAATCTCAGGTCGATTTGATCATGCATCATTTACTAGTCAGTCTCTAGTTATATAATACATTCATCAAGATAAAATAATGAGTTTATGCTGTTTTCGGCATTATTGCAGAGGCATTCCTCCAGTCCTCCTATCGTATAATATCCTCTAAGCTTCAGTCTTTATGGTGCGATATCAAATAGTGTTCAGTAATAGTTAGGTTTAACTTCATCCAGGAGTTTCTGACTTTCTAAAGTATGTCTATTGATTCGAAACAGGTTTTATTCATTTTATTCATACCTTCTGTTTGAATTTAACTGAGTTTAAACTGTTTCATTTCTTCCATTCAGGGGCAATAACGATGAACCTCCAGAACCTTCAAAGTTTGAACAAGAGCTTATGTTATTGGATGATCTTGAGACTGAAGATATAGCTTTGGTGGATGAAAGTGCAGCTATATCCCATTTAGATTTTCTAACAAATTCTCATTGGCCAAGACCTAACTTAAAACCACTTGACCCAAATAAAGACAGTATAATTTTTCTACAGTTTGATGTCTCACACTATAAAGTTAGTTCACTCATCAATTTTTATTGTATTCTACTGATAATAAGGGAATTTTTTGTTTTCAAGAGGATATGAAGTCTGGAAATATTACTTTTGAGTGTTACACCTGTAATGTTAATATCTCTAAGTGATGTATAGGGTAGTAATGAATTTATTGCTTTCATTTTGTGGTCAAATAAGCTCATGACAGATTTCTGCCTGAAAATCACCCATGTATATCCCCCTTAAGGAAACTACTGTGTGTCTAGTAGCTGTTATACTCATTATGATCATAAAATGATAAGACCTGTTTCTGCAAAAATAACCAACAAACAACCAGTTGCTGAAACACTTTTGTGACAATTTTTTAAGAGTGCTTGATTTACCCTAGATTTTTATGCGTTACACTTGATTTAGAACGATATTTAGGAAGATAGATACACTGATTGGACAGATTGGGTTGTGTGTATTGGTTTAGACACCCGAATTCTCAATTGCTGACCCAGGTCTACACTTCAATCTATCTGTTCTGCATAAAAATGCACTCGATTGTCGAGCAACATCCCGTGTCTTTATTAACTGGGTTGTTTGTTACGTTTAAATATCTATTTATTTACTTTTTTGTTTAAAGAAAAACTTGGTGCAGCGTTGCACGACATGAAATAATATAACAATATGAGAAAGTAAAAGAGTTGAAAAGTGACTATAAGTAGGTGGACATCCTTATCAAGTACATTTCATAGATCGAGTCAATTAGTTTTAATTGTGATTACAAAAAGCGTATATATTACAAAATCATAGCTACCATTTTCATATTTCAAGCCATTTATTATTAGAATACAATTCTGTCATATTATGGTCACTTAGCGAGAGATGCGCCATATAAAATCTCATAGTTCGTGTGAGGGCTGAGATACTGCCCGCACAACCAGGGAGAAGCAGGTGATTGTCTTAAGAGACCGATCCCCTAGCCTTTGATTTGAAGTTTAATCCACAAGTCAGTGAATCAGTGTCAGGAGCTGCGTTTCCCTGGTGCAGTGACCAAAACAGCTCCATGCGCCATTAAGTCATTTCTGATTTTGGTACCCATATGCAGCATTGGTTTGGAATCAGGATTTTCCAGATTCTCTAGGTACGCCTGCATGCCTACCCTCCTGGTTGTAAGCTTTAGACACTCGTACTTGCCCTTTCACTTTTGTGAGGAACACCCCCTGTCGTGTTTAGGCAACGTATTCCATCAGTATGGCAACGCAAGTCACCTTATCGTTATTGGATACTACTTCTTGAGGTGACTACTTGTCATCTGATTCCAGTCACTCAGAACTGTTATGTAGTGAACATCGTGGAAGTCTCTGAGACAAGATCGGTAACATATTCCCAAAGTATTGATTCGACTACCATTGAACGACTGGGTAGTATCATCAACCTTCATACACTGGTGTGTGGTTGATTGCCTGTTCTAGGTTGCTGAGTTTGAACAAGCAACTATTAGTTCCCTTCGCCTAGGATGATATCATTCATTAGCGACAACCTCTATCCTGTTCGAATATGATCTGCTTAACTTCAGAATTACTTACGGTATCACTACCAGGTATAGGTTATCCTTACATAGGTAACAGTAATCGGACACAGAATCGTCTGATTTTATTTTAGAGAAACTGTGTTTCGGCGATATGGAGCACATGCAAAAGACATTGTAAACGGGATTTTCAATCTTCAGGCTTTGTGAAACTTCAGAAAACAGTATATGCATTCAGAAAATCAATAAGATGTTCAAAACACCTTGTTTACTATCAGTAAGCAAGCCGTTTTTAGGGTAAAAAGATCAACAATACTAAAAGACTCCTTAAACATTCAGTGTTTTGTAAATGAAAAAAAATCAAGTTCCCTTCTTTGCATCACTAAGCAGGATTTATCTTCGATACTGATTTTTAGTAGTATTAACAATCACAAAGAATTCTTTACAAAATACCGACGAATCGGCATTTGCGGAAAAATGAAATATTCACTTTCAAATATAAAAATGTAGGGAACATCTAACAATGGACATTCCCAATTATAAATCTCCGCTACTATCGACAGAAATGCACCAATAACCAATTAATTTGGTCATAATGGTATAAAACTCTCCCATAAACCTTTTCAGATTCTAATTCATGAGAGTCATCGTGGGTTTATACCATTTAATAAATCTAGGATTAAGTAATATCATAAAATCATTGTAACACTAATAACTGTGTTTTCTTTTTGATTCATTATTGTCTCCTTTTTAGGAAATTGATGACTTTTATTTTCAGGTATTCTTGTTATATTACTGAAAAGAATAACAGTAACAGTAATACAATTTTTGTTTCACGATTTCTTGTTTAATTTAGCGTTGTCTTTTCATGTTGTCAGTCGTCTTTAATATGTTTTGTATAGTCACAAATGTGTACATTGATGCTTCCAGTATTATGTAAATAATTTATCCTGCACGACACCCATTCTGCATTTGTGCATAAGTCGTTTCAGTTGTTTCGTGTTTATAATATTGTGCTGATGGAATGAGATGTGTGCTTCATTTGATTGATAACGACGCAATAACTCACTGTTCGACATTTAATCGGAAAACCTATTATTCACAATTAATTTGAATGTGGCATGTTACACATCATTTATCCTTTTACTGTCACAATCAATACTGCATATTGCCTTTTCACATTTGCATGAGTGTCTTGTATATCTGTTTGAAAACAATATTAAAGTGCATTGATTAGCATAACATTTAAAAAATCCTACTTTGTGTATTCCATCTCATGCGTCATTCATCTGTTGAGTGATCATGTTGAATGCATGGAGTATAACTGATCTAAGTGCTATTTTATTGCAATCAGGTCATATCCCGGACCAGTGTTCTCTTTGAGTCAATATATGATGAAATTGTTGTACTAAGAGTAAAGATACTAAGTATGGAATGCTGTTTAACACAAAATATATTATTCAAGTGTTGGTTTGTAGGGATTTGATTGGTTTACAGGATTTCATTTTGAGCTGACGTAAGTTAGAGTTAATGGTATACGAGCTCGCCTTGTAACCAGTAAGTCCTGGGTTCGAACTGTGGCGGTGGCTGCGTGCAGTTGAAGAGTCCCAAACTAGGACGAAACAGCTATCCAGTACTCCCAGGTGGTTTTCCAATGGTCCTCTAACTAATGTCAGCTCGTGATGAAATCCTGTAAACAAAATATAATACTATTAAGAAACTGTCGGTCTTGGATAGCGTTACACTCATTGTGTGATTTATAGTTATCATAATGGAAGATATGTATGAATTCATTATTTATTATAGGGGAGTGTTATATAGAAATATGTCTAATAAAGATGTTTACATCTTATAATTATTTGTTACATTTAAAATTTAAGAATTATGATATTTACCCACCTTATATTCAAGACACTTTAGCTTTATATGCTTATGGAATTGTATGGGTAGCTGTCTCTTCACGTTTACCCACACTGTGAAGGTTGATTTCTCTTTAGGGTACCATAAACAAGCACTGAGTATTATGTAACAGCAGAATCCAGGCGACAACTGCGGGATTCACATCCTCTTTGAGTTGATTTTCAGAGTTGTGTTCCTATTGACGTCTTACCACCGGCTACAGGCAGTAGCGAAAGTGTGGTTGTACAATTTTTAGGACTGACATTTTTTAACCTCCACTCCCTTTCCAGAGCAAAGAGGGGGCATAGTTGACTTAATGGTTGTCTGAGGGAAATAGTTTATTGATGTTACATCCATATTTTCTAACATTACGATCTCTCTTTCAGAGACCTAACATAATGTAAGCGACTAACAACACTTCAGTAGCAATTGCTTTTAGTGTAATCTCTATCCAAACGAATTTTGTGGCGTGTTAGGACTTTCAGAAACATTTATTTCAACCAATGTAGTTCGTTGGGTCGCTGTGATGTGGGAACCTGACCATAACGTGATGGTCGGGGTTGCAGCTATCGGTCGAGCGTCAAATTAAGAACATTTGCTAACTTAAAATGCTTTTTCTCTCGTGATTTCTGTCTGAATTTATTGTTATATTTAAAATTAATTTACCTACTTAACAGCACAAAAAATTACAATGTAGAAGTCTTATGTGTGGTATTCATGCATCGCCCATTGAGTTTTTATTTCATTATGTGTTACTCCAGTTGTCACGCATATATGCATAGTGTACACAGTTCTACACAGTAATAAGGAAGATTTATAGCTCAGATGGATGACTTTCATATGGTTGTGGTCTCTGAGCCGGATGGTTTAATTGCGAAATGTTTACTGCTTTTCTAGACAAAATATTCAGCGCAGTCTTCATATTGAAAAACTCTTTACATAAGATAATACAGATAAAATGCATGACATATAACTTCTAAATTAGTATTGAACTTGGCTCAGAATAAATACGGTGGTACTTACATCAATATAGCGGGAAAAAATAAAGCGAAGGCTTATTACCATGTCTTATCAAGTTCTTCATACACACGAAAGGTTGACTGCGCGTCATTACGACTGCCAGTAGATAATTAAATAATATTTAGTTTTTGTTTTGATTCCTTTACGTTCCCAGTGAAACATAGGGCTTCGAGCTAGAGCCTTAAAGTTTCAGTAGCAGTGGTGTTTGTTTTTACGGGATGGAGTTGCTGGCCAGCCTCATGCCCAACCTTCCCTCTTTACCAGTCTTATTACTGGCTTAGCGAGGTAAAGGAGTACGTCGGTCGAGGATCAAAACCCGTACCACATGCTTGGTCCGCTGGCATTCTACTTCTGTGCCACTGACGCACAGTAGTTAGAAATAGACTTTTTTATTTTCACTAGACCCTTGATCTGAATGATATCTTTTGATTCCATTTAATAGAAATCAGTTCTGTCCAATTCAAAATTCATGGGCCCATTAGATTCCAGCCCAAGTGACTGAATGGTTAACAAGCTTGGCCTCGTAACATGAAGGTCGAGAGTTGGATCCCCGGTAGGTGAGCTTATGAGTTCGTACTATTGGAGATCCTCGAACTAGGACAAAACTATCTAGTTGACATTAATCCATGATAAAACTTGAAACAAATTCCACTATGTTTTCTCCCCTTGCACTCTTTAATCGCTTTCCACTAAAGTGTGATTCTCACAGTATCTAGTATTGAAAAAACCAATGAACTTGAATCATTACTTTCTCTTACCTTATTTTTTTTGTTTAGGGTGAACGTTTGGCCGGTATGCCTGGAGCTGCACAAAGTCCTGTACCAATTATACGTTTATTTGGTGTCACTGAAAATGGTCATAGTGTTTGTGCACATGTACACGGTTTTGTGCCATACTTTTATGTTCCAGCACCTAAAGACTTTTCAATTAATTATTTAAATGATTTTCGTGAAGCATTAAACTCTGCTTTATTGAGAGAGAATAAAACAAAGGAATTTGAAGGATTACATCATCTTGTGCTTAGGGTAACATGCGAAGAAAAACAAAGTAAGTCATTATTAAATAGTCACTATTAGATGCTAATGTGTACTTGATGTGTGTTTGTGTGTTTTATTCACCTGTCTATCCCTTGGACATAACTGATTTATTTGTTAATATAAACTTGGAAATCTGTATATAAGTGCACCAATTCAAGTTTTGTTTCGGAACTCAGTTATCCCAAACAGGTTTTTCATGTACCGGACTGTGAGGCACAAATTTATTGTGCGAAGACTGGTGATACTGCTTGGTTGCTCAGGCTAAAGTAGGTGGAGTGAGACTCAAGCTCAGGACCCATTGGTTGTTAGTTGAGGATTTAAAGCAATGTGCCATTTCTCCACACCTATTCAAGTTAACACAATTTGATTCTCTGCATCTTGCGGAAACTTCATAGAGCATGCATTCATTGTAGTTGGTCGATATTCTCAAGTAGGCAAACTGATTGCCAAGCTTAGTCGCTTCAAGTGTTGGTTTGCGGGGACTTGGCTGGTTACAGGTGTAGTCACATCAGTTAGCGAGCCGGAAGGTCCTGGGTTCGAACCCTAGCAGGTGTGTACTGATTAAGAGTCCCGGACAGGAACGAAATAACTGTTTTTCACCGGTTCACTGACTGATGTTGGCTGGTGATAAAGCCTGTAATTAATCACTTCAGTTGTCGGTGGTATAGCGGTTAGGACGCTCGCCAACCATGCACATGGTCCGGGGTTCGATCCTCGGCCGACGCACTCCTTTACCTCACTAAGCCAGAAATAATCCTGGTAAAGAGGAAAGGTTGGGCATGAGGCTAGCAACCCCATCCTGTAAAAATAAACACTGCTACAGAAACTTCAAGCCATTGGCTTGAAGCCCTATGTTCCATTGGGAACGTGAAGGAAAAAAAAATCACTTCAGTTGAATATGTTGTACACGGAGACTAGTAGTCGAATGGGTCCAGTGTTTTGAATCCTTCCTGCTTTTTAACTTCATCAGGAACATTTGGGTAAGATAATCAGCTGCCAGACAATAAGTGTAGCTCATAGTCTGGAATATGAATGATATGTTTGGGGGGACTGCGTTCAAAGAAACTAGTATGTAAAATCACATTATACGATAAACTGAGAAGTTAGTAAGAGTTTGTTCAAAATTAACTTAGCCTATGTAGCGTTTGGGGTATAAATAATATAGGTGTGACGGAATGTATATTCACTTTTTACGCTCACTGAGTAAAATGGTTTTTGAAATGATGTATCAGAGCTGGAAAACACTTGTGATTAGTTCGTAAGGTCAGTAACTATAAGACGTAGGGCTAAATGACTACGATTGAAGAACATGGTTAATCATCCTGAATGGTGTTATTAAAGACAGATCATTATGCGTAATGTGAGATTCAAATCGAACTTTAATTCGTTCTAATTTTATATGCATCATTTATCTATCCACTGTCATTTTACTTGGTTCAGCAAGTTGGCAGAAACAACGAAGACAGAATTTCAAGTGAACAGAGTTGAAGATAGCTAACTAACCGAAAACAACAAAAAAGCACCAGTCATTACCACCTGGAGATATTTTAGGGTCACTTCTTCCAGTTATCTAGTCAGCATCGTTTCAATGACAAGCGGCATTCATGAGGATGTCAAAGACAGTCCGGGTTGGAAAGGAAAGACACAGACCTTCATTAGTTTGAAATTAGTATGGAAATGTTGTGCACTCAGCATGAGAAACAAAATTAAGATTTTCAACACCAATGTTAAGTCAGTTCTTCTAAATGGGTCAGGGAGTTGGCGCGTTACAAAAAGCATTCCTAACAGACTGCTGATTTTTTACCAACAACTACCTTCGGTCCATATTGAAGATAAGATGTCCGGCCTGAAAGGATTAGCAGTAAGGAGAACTGACAGCGGACCAACCAAGAGTCTTTTGCTCGAATAATAATAATGGTGACCAGGTGTTACAGCACTAAACATAGAGATAATCTCTTGATGGTTGGTGATGGCTATATTGTGACAAGATATCGGGTAGCCTGTTATTGGCACTAAGCTTTGTTGTGTAAGGCTGTTTATGGAATGGTTATTAAGAAGGCATTAATTATTATATATTGAATGATAGGCCTCCTTTGAAAATATTTGTCGAGCCTTCCACTCATCTAGTGATACACAGTGGTCTGTCATTCTCTCTTTTCTATACTTAGTTTATTAACGTTTATCGTTAGCCAATTAATGGTTTAGTGTATATTCTGACTAGCTTTTATTTCTGTGAAAGTAAAATCAGTTCACCCTTTTTTGTCTACGTTCATAGTTTCTTAGAACAAAACATCTAGATGCTCAGAAAGCCTAAATTATTATATATGAAAATGTTTATATCTGAAGTACTCAGTTATCATGGAAGTAAAAGCGTTTAAAGTCGCTTTAAACTGAACTGTATATGGTACACTCTACTGATCAACCTTTATTTCTTTACATTCTCCTCTTAAATGTTTAATTTAATGCATTTTGCAGGTAATGGTCGGTTCAAGAGTCCTTTGAAGTGATCCGCTCATTGTTTAATCTGTTTTTCTCCCTTGGTAACTGGGTTCCCTTGGCTGTCTTTTATAGGTTTCGCTTGTGTTGATCTCTTCCCGGATAGAGATTTGGTTATCTGATATAATGTCCTCAGGTCTCTTTTGCTTGTTGCCTTCTCAGCCTCAGTGGCGAGGTTGTCGTAGAATCGTCTTTTGTCCTTCCTAGCACTCTTCTTCACTTCTTTCTCCAGTGCTGTGTAAGTTGAGCTCAGCGTCTCCTTCTCCTGTCCGTCCTTGCATTGAATCATTTTCTCTTTCACCATTCTCCTCTCTTCTATTAGTTTCCAAGTGTCCGTTGAGAGCCATTCCTTGTCTTGTCTCTTCTTTCTTCCTAAAACCGTTGAACACGTTTCGTTAGGAATCGCCTTCAGAGACTTCCAATTTTCTTCCACGCCTGATTCTTCAGAGATGTCACGCAGTGTTTCCTGCTTTGCTCTGACAGTTGCAGTGAAAGTGTCCTTTGTGGTTGTGTCCTTCAATAATTGAGTGTTGAACTTGCATTGTGGCCTATCCCCAGCTATCCTCAAGGCTTTTAGCTTCACCTTGAAAGTCCCTTGTACTAGATAGTGGTCTGGATCCACATCTGCTCCTCTTCTCGATCTTGTGTCCAGTAGGCTCCGTCTCCACTTTCTTGAGATTGAAATGAAGTCTATCTGGTTTTTGGTGTGTCCATCTGGTGAAATCCATGTCGTCTTGTGTATATCCTTGTGTTTGAACACACTGCCACCAATCACCAAATCATTGAAGGCGCAGAAGTTTGAGAAGAGTTCACCATTGTCGTTCTTTTCACCAAGGGCCTCTCGATCCATGGTGAGTTCTCTTCCTGTGTTGTCTCCTCCCAGCTTCGCATTCATATCGCCCATCAGGATTCTAATATCCCCATTTGGGACGTTGCCCATTATTGTTTGTAGTTGTCTGTGGAAATCCTCCTTCTTCTCTTCTTCTGAGACGTTTGTAGGCGCATAGCATTGAATGACTGTAGCTTTCCTTTTGAGTTGAACCTGGCTGTCATTATCCTGGAGGAGATTGGTTCCCACTGCATGAGAGCTTTGGCTGATGTTGGTGACATCATGATGGCCACTCCCTCGGTGTGATCGTGGTTGTCCTCTGGGTGACCGGAATAGATTATTGTCTCTCCAGTTGGTAGTTGGCACCTTCGAGTTCCGTTCCATCTGCTTTCGCAGATTCCCAACACTTCTATTCTATACCTTCTCATTTCAGCGGCTATCTGGGCAGCCTTTCCAGTTTCGTACATTGTACGAACATTCCAGGTACCCATCCTTACTTTTGCTTTCATCGAGAGAAGGCACATCGGCTGGACTGGCTTCCCGAAAGCTTTCACCAGCCTGCGTCATTTCACTTCCCCGATTCCAGGGAAAAATAAGGCTATTGTGTATATATTTAGAATTTTTAATATATTTATTCGTTGAAGTTTCTGTAGCCATTTGGTTGTTTTACGGAGGTGGAGTTGCTAGCATGACGCCCCAATCCTCCCTGTTTATCCGGGCTTGGGACCGGCAAGAAAACTAGCGAGCTAGTTATCCAGGCGAGGTTGACCAGAGTTATAAATGCATTTTAAATAAGATTCAATAGTGTGAAATATTCCCATATCATGAATTAAAAGTCAATCTGAACGAAGAATATTTTTTTCAATAATTTCTCCTCTTCAGGTTCTTACAATTATAGAAAATATAATATTTGTTGTCGTTACAATAATGCCCAGTTATGCATGCGGTGGATACATTTTTAACGTAGAATAACAGATTAGTTATGGGGTGTCAAAATAAATAGTCGTATTTGTGTGACAAACGTGCTAGGCTGAAATCGATTACAAAATATTGTAAAATGGGAGACAATGGTGGTGATTAGTCATAATAGATTTGTAGAGTGTGGGGGTAGGAAAATTGACAAGTCAGTTCAAGGTTATAAATAGTGTCAGGTGAGTGGCTAGTACAAAGTGGTCTGTGCTAAACAGGAGATAGTAAGACTGCAATGAGAGATTCATAATGAAATAACGAATATGTGAAATGAAACAGGTGGAGACATATATTGAGAAAAGAGATAATATCACTAATAATAGGTCCGGACAGTATAAATGGAAAATTCGATAGTACTGAGAGAATGGTTGCATGAAGGGCATAAATTATGACGAATAATAAAAATAATTGTAATAATAAGCAAAGAGAAAAAAGACCAAGAGGTTGAGGGGAAGAAGCACTCTTGGTGAGAAGAAGAATCACCAATTCAAGTTAGGCGACGGCGGGAACAACCATTATTGTAACGACAACAAGTATCATATTTTATAATTGTAAGAACCTGAAGAGGAGAAATTATTGAAAAGAATATTCTTCGTTCAGATTGACATTTTAAATAGTCACATTATTAATTTAAAAAGATTTTGTGGAGCTTCTGTTTATTGGTCTAGGTACTCCACTTCCAATCACCGGGTCACGGGTTCGAAACCCTGTCGTCTACTGAGGTTTGGGCCTTCATACAACAGGTGTGGCTGACTGCCAACTGCATGAAATTGCAAGTGATTGTTGCATACCATAATACACAAAAGCGTGCAAAAACTTATCGACTGGAACACAAAATGATCATGGACCTCAAAGGATATTGCTTGGTTCAGGTTTTTTGAATGTCTTAGTATTACTGATTTCCCCTACTCACTAGATGAAAGATGTGCTTTAAGGCTAGTTATTAAACACTTTTAACACCCTTATCCTTAACTAGTAATACTCAGTCTTCACAGGTATGTAATTGAGCCGGGTTCATGGTTGCTCTTGTATATACATCTTTCTTATTGAATTCACTCCAATTCAACTCAGCAGTAGTAATTAATTCATACTAAAATCGTTATTATATTATTATAACTATTGCCTTTGTGATGTAATTTGTTCCTTTTGATTATATTCAATTTATATTTTAGATGTATATGGTTTTCATGGTAATCGTAGCCTACCATTTCTACGTATAACTATGGCATTACCACGTTTAATTGCACCAGCTAAACGGATATTAGACAATGGTTTAGCATTTGCTAACTATCCACTACAGGTTAGTTTTAAAGTAGCTAATTTAACTATATACCTTTACTTGAATAATAGTAGAAATCTTTTATATATAAATATAAATATATATATATATATATATATATATATATATATATATATTGTATGTCAGTGGTTCCAGTCATAGAATAATCGATAACCATGTGCACAGTTCGGATTCGATTCTCGGCTGACTAGCTTCTAAACCTCCCCTTGCTGGTATTAACCCCTGTAAAGAGGGAAGATATGTGTGTGAGAGAGAGAGAGAGGCTAGCAACCCCACCCAGTGAAAACAAAATCGAAGCTACTGAGATTTTAAAGACTAAACCTGGAAGTCCCCTACTTTCCATTCGCGACTCAAAGGGATGAAGAAAATAAAGTAATATCTTAACATTAAGTCATCAAATTAAAAACAAAATTAGCGGGGAAGAGATAGAATCACTTCTTATTAAAGACAACATTTAACCCTGTACACCGGCGATTCATTCGTAGAATAGCTCGCCAGACACGCTAGGTGTGGTCTGGTTTCGATTACCGGCCGGCGGACTCTAGCGTAAACCCCGACAATTGTGTCAGTGAACCTGGAAAAAGGGAAAGTTTGGGTGTGAAGGGCTACTGAAATCTGAAAGCTTGTAGACCTGTGTGTTCTACTTGGACCGCAAAGGAGTGGAAAAAAATCGATTCGCATGCTACAAACTCCATGAGATAACTTGAGATATTCAATAGTATGGTTCAAAATTCAGTCTGTCAGATTTATCTGTCGCCTCATTTCTCGGTTGTTTTAAAAAATGTCTCATTAAACCATTATCAAAGCTACTGATGTTGAAGAATCCCGATAAATTATCATATAGTTGTATCAGTTTTGTTTTTGTCTTCTTCTGTTTATTTTGTCTCAATGAACACAGTCATATCCAGCTTTTGAAGCAAATATTGACTTTGAAATACGCTTTATGACGGATACCTTAATGACTGGATGTAGTTGGGTTGAAGCTCCCGCTTCTAAATATAAACTAAGAGATTCTACACAAAAAACAGAAGATTATATTAAAACGTCAAACAAAAAATCAAACAATACTACCTCTACTACTAATAGTAGTAGTAGCAGTAGTAATCACAATGAAGAGAATTCATCATCTACAATAATAAAGTCATCATTGTTAACTGGTCAAACAAGATGTCAAATTGAATTTGATATTGCCTGGGATGCTTTAGTTATCCACTCACCTGAAGGTCAATGGAGTAATATTGCACCGCTACGTGTATTAAGCTTTGATATTGAATGCGCAAGTCGTAAAGGTAAGTATTATGGGTATATATGTATATATGGTAAATTGCTTTTTGTACTCTTCACCTTTTCATACACATCGGCTTTTCGCTGAATGTCTTCTGTCTGTAGAGGAGAATGATGCTTGGAAAGGCTTCGTGTGCTTTTGAAAGTGTATGGGCGGTGGTTACTTCCCGGCTGCCCACACCGTGGAAGTTGATTAATTCTTCGGGTACCTGAAAAAGAAAGAGGGTTAGTATTGCGTTACCGCAGAGCCCAGGGGACAACTGTTTGAGGCTAGCCGGTTACACACAGCCTGTATGAACTGGTTTCCAGAATTGGTTCCGTATTAGTAAACTTACCGCCGGTTACCGACCACCGTAGGGTAAGTTGGGATGTACAATTTTTGGGGTCGACCTTTTCTAACCCCCTCTCTCCGGAGTGGAGAGACGGCATGCTGGTCATCTGAGGGAAACACCTCACTGCTGTTACACCCCTGTTCCCCAGCAGTACGACTTCGTCCTCAGACCCCCAGAATAGTGTAAGAAAGATTCTTGCACAATGCCGGTAACTGCTTTTAGTCTAATCGCTATACTAACAACCTTCCTGGCATGGTTCCAGCCAGTGTAGCTGAATGTCTTACTTCCTAATTTGTTAATCAAATTCAACCAGAATAAATTTGTGGATGTCTTTAATCATCTAGTGATGACTTACAGCTTCATCTAATTATTCAACATTGAATTCATCCAATTAGACATATCTTTGCATCCGAAAACGGTGTTGGTGTTTTCCACGAGTCTTAAAATATGATCGAGTGAGATGAAAAGTAACTAATCAGACGTATGAACGACTGCTGAAGGTTGTTTTGTATTTTCCGTTGATTGTTTGTATTGAACGGAAATGTTCAACCTCAGTTAATATGTCAGCTCTTAGTGTATATGAACACTTTGACGATATCTGAGGATTAACATAATGTTATTTGTTAGGTGATGTCTAGCAATAGAATCCACGGTGTCCGATTTGGAATTTGCTGCATAATATTTTCCCTTCGTCTAGGATCTTCAAGCGAAGTAGTAATTGACAGTAGATCGCTTGACTTAATATTGTCTGACCTGAAGTGCAAACCACAATCCCTTAGGACATTTTTTGTCCCTTTCGAGAAATGCACAACATTTGGTTCTAGTGGGATGTCGTGACCAGTAGAGTGTAGCAGCAGGTCGGGTGTGAGAACAAATACTCGCCGAAGACATTGGCTAGCGGTCACGCTATTTCGTGAATCGTCAGAAGTTGGAATTCATGGGCCATTAGATCGGGTCCCCAGTGGCTTAATGGCCTACGAGGTAGCTCTCCTTGTAACCAGAAGATCCTGGGTCCGAACCTCGGTGGGTGCGTACTGATGAAGAGTCCCAAGCTAGGATGAAACAACTGGCTGCCCAGTACTCCCTGTAGGTTTTCCAATAGTTCTCTGACTGATGTAAGCTCATGATGAAATCCTGTAACTAATCAATCAAATCCCTACAAACCGATACTTAAAAATTTCCATTGAGTTATGTAAAAGAAAAGACGTTCAATGAAGAGTTACTCTTTTCGGAGATATCATTTTCAAGCTGTACAATCGCACAGAAAAAAAAGAAGTATTCATGAGTAATCCCCTTACAGACATCAATAAAAACAAAATAGGTGGTTCAGCGAAGAGTTACCTTTTCGGTAGCGAATTCATTCACTTAGCTGTACAATCGGAATTATATATACTTATTTTTCTGTAAATTAAATATTCCCATAATTTATTCAGAACAAAATATTTAGAGCGAACAATTGTTTTCAATAAATTCTTCTTCAGGCTCTACAATTATAAATCCATTAATGTAAGCATACAATAGCCAGTAAAGGCGAATTAGAATCATATCAGAAAGTGTATTGTGGAACAAGTATAAGATGGGATGAAACAATAGTCATATAGTCATATAGTTTTTTAATATGCATGGTCAATAACAACATGGGACAGAATGAGATGAAATAATTTAATGATGTGTGTATATATATAAATATAGTTGACAGAAAATACAGGTTTCAAGGGTGAGTGTAATCAGGGTGTGTGAGGCAATATGAAAATAAACCAACGAATGGGGCGGTCTAGACTTAAGTTCAAGGTTGAAAATAACAACAATAAGAATGATTGTAAAATAATAACGATGATATGGTGTAAAATTAAAATTAAATGTACTATTGGTGAATGATTATCAAATAATAATAATGAATATAATGAAGTGGAATGAACAGGATTTTGTAAATACGATAGTAAGTTAGAAAAGCACTATTTAAACCTAAGGTAATAAAATCATAAGAAAGGTCATGAAATTATAAAAGTCGAAAATGAACGTTTGTCAATGAAACAGAGGAATAGAAGAAGGAAAAGAAAAGAAAAGAAAATCGCGAAAGGAATTTATAGTGTTAATGGAGGATTTGTTGGCTTTATTGTAGGCCAAGGTAAACATAGAGGTTGAACATACTTCTTCTGTATGCAGAGGGATGGTCTTCTGGTATTAATTGCAACTGCTTCAGCTACTGATAGAAGACGTAGTCGAGCTCCTCTAGATAAATTACTAGGAACACGGTAAATAACTGAGAACGCTTGGTCAAGTTTTATCCGGTGTCCAGTATCTACCAAGTGGGCTAAGACTGCACTATTTATGCCTTTGGTTACTCCTTTACTCAACCATACAGGTACATGTTCACGTGCGCGCATGGATAAAGCCCTCTGAGTACGGCCAATATAACTAGCTCCACATGAGCAGTTGAATTCGTAGATGCACATTGATGAGGCCATCTTTGGTAATTTATCCTTTACTTGCTGTGTGAGTACTGGTTTAGTTGAGAAGTTTAGTACCAATTTAGCTGCGGGAAATGTTCTATCTATTGCTCTATTGAGTCGACACTTTAGAATGTCAGCTGCAATTTCCCCTTTGTAACTTAACTTAAGATACAAAGGTTTCTTGTCTACGGTATCCACCTTTTCCCTGTCTATAGGTATTGACATATACTTTCTTAGGAAGCTCTGTGGATATCCATTCTCTTGCAGTGTGAGTTTTAGTTTATGCATTTCTTCCTTAATGCATTCCTCTGAGCATATTCGTTTTATTCTGTAGCTAAGACACTTAACTAAGTTTCTTTTATGCTGAATCGGTGTGAAACTATGGAAATGGGTGTACTGACCCGTCCAAGTTTTCTTTCTAAATAATTTCCTTTGTAGATATCCATCTGTCTTCATGGTAAGTAGGACGTCTAGGAAAGGTAAACTGTTATTGTCTTCTTCTTCACATGTAAACTGAATAGTTGGGTGAACACTATTAACGGTATTCAGAAGCTCTTGTTTATTAAGATTTCTATTACAAACGATAAACGTATCATCTACGTATCGACAATAATAGTCAAACCCTTTAATCGTGTCTTTGAGTGGACCATTTTCAAGCTTTGCCAGGAAAATATCCGCTAGCAAAGGGCCCAAAGGTGATCCCATGGCTACCCCATCAACTTGTCTATAAAAACCATTATTGAACATAAACTGAACGTTCATAGTGCACTTCAATAATAAAGCTTGAATGTAAAGGGAAAGAAAATGATGTCACTGGATGTAGCATCATTATTCACCAATGTCCCACTGCTTGAAACAGTCAACTACATATGTGACCAGCTGATAGAAAAGAAAATAGATGTAGGAATCCCACCCGAAAAGGTCAAAGAATTATTATTGAAGTGCACTATGAACGTTCAGTTTATGTTCAATAATGGTTTTTATAGACAAGTTGATGGGGTAGCCATGGGATCACCTTTGGGCCCTTTGCTAGCGGATATTTTCCTGGCAAAGCTTGAAAATGGTCCACTCAAAGACACGATTAAAGGGTTTGACTATTATTGTCGATACGTAGATGATACGTTTATCGTTTGTAATAGAAATCTTAATAAACAAGAGCTTCTGAATACCGTTAATAGTGTTCACCCAACTATTCAGTTTACATGTGAAGAAGAAGACAATAACAGTTTACCTTTCCTAGACGTCCTACTTACCATGAAGACAGATGGATATCTACAAAGGAAATTATTTAGAAAGAAAACTTGGACGGGTCAGTACACCCATTTCCATAGTTTCACACCGATTCAGCATAAAAGAAACTTAGTTAAGTGTCTTAGCTACAGAATAAAACGAATATGCTCAGAGGAATGCATTAAGGAAGAAATGCATAAACTAAAACTCACACTGCAAGAGAATGGATATCCACAGAGCTTCCTAAGAAAGTATATGTCAATACCTATAGACAGGGAAAAGGTGGATACCGTAGACAAGAAACCTTTGTATCTTAAGTTAAGTTACAAAGGGGAAATTGCAGCTGACATTCTAAAGTGTCGACTCAATAGAGCAATAGATAGAACATTTCCCGCAGCTAAATTGGTACTAAACTTCTCAACTAAACCAGTACTCACACAGCAAGTAAAGGATAAATTACCAAAGATGGCCTCATCAATGTGCATCTACGAATTCAACTGCTCATGTGGAGCTAGTTATATTGGCCGTACTCAGAGGGCTTTATCCATGCGCGCACGTGAACATGTACCTGTATGGTTGAGTAAAGGAGTAACCAAAGGCATAAATAGTGCAGTCTTAGCCCACTTGGTAGATACTGGACACCGGATAAAACTTGACCAAGCGTTCTCAGTTATTTACCGTGTTCCTAGTAATTTATCTAGAGGAGCTCGACTACGTCTTCTATCAGTAGCTGAAGCAGTTGCAATTAATACCAGAAGACCATCCCTCTGCATACAGAAGAAGTATGTTCAACCTCTATGTTTACCTTGGCCTACAATAAAGCCAACAAATCCTCCATTAACACTATAAATTCCTTTCGCGATTTTCTTTTCTTTTCTTTTCCTTCTTCTATTCCTCTGTTTCATTGACAAACGTTCATTTTCGACTTTTATAATTTCATGACCTTTCTTATGATTTTATTACCTTAGGTTTAAATAGTGCTTTTCTAACTTACTATCGTATTTACAAAATCCTGTTCATTCCACTTCATTATATTCATTATTATTATTTGATAATCATTCACCAATAGTACATTTAATTTTAATTTTACACCATATCATCGTTATTATTTTACAATCATTCTTATTGTTGTTATTTTCAACCTTGAACTTAAGTCTAGACCGCCCCATTCGTTGGTTTATTTTCATATTGCCTCACACACCCTGATTACACTCACCCTTGAAACCTGTATTTTCTGTCAACTATATTTATATATATACACACATCATTAAATTATTTCATCTCATTCTGTCCCATGTTGTTATTGACCATGCATATTAAAAAACTATATGACTATATGACTATTGTTTCATCCCATCTTATACTTGTTCCACAATACACTTTCTGATATGATTCTAATTCGCCTTTACTGGCTATTGTATGCTTACATTAATGGACTTATTTTTCTATGTGTGTGTGTATATGTGTACATTAGGTTTGTCCGATAAAAATAAGTTAGGGTTATTGTTGTCGCGTGCTACACGGAGTGTGACGACCTGAACTGCCGCACATTTGTGCAAAGTTCTATGTCGAAAACAGACAGGTAGATTGTTGTCAAGACATTTCAAAAATGTGATGAATAATCAAATCGAACATCTTGGCAACACTGGTCATTCCATTTCAACAAATGCCTCCTTCGAAGTAGTCAACAAAGTGAAGAATAACCTACCATAGGAAGTACACTTTCTCCTCCTTTGTATTGTTGAAGCCTTAACCATCCAGTTGGAAAAACTAGTGTTATGTATACGAAAGAAAATCATCCAACCACTTCTACTATCATGATAACAACCGTGTCGACTTCTACTGACTTGATGGGTTTTTTTTCTAACCTCTTACAACATTTTTAATTCTTTGAACTCTCACGTGGTTCCATATTTTCCTTTTTTTCTACGTGCATCCTAATCACAACTTACTCATTAAACTATTCATCTTATTACGTAACTATATTGGGCTTATTCAATTTCGTTTATGTGTCTTTCAACAATTATAACTGTTTTTTTGACAACGCATCACCACTACCCTCTTACCAATCTCCACGCCCGCCCTAGTTACGATTTGATTATTCATCACATTTTTGAAATGTCTTGACAACAATAACCCTAACTTATTTTTATTCTTGTCGTACAAACCTAATATGTATAGAAAATCAAAACAAGTGATTCAGCGAAGAGACTCTTTTCAACGAATTTATCATCAAGCTTTACAAAAACATGGCATCAATCCATGAAATCCTTGACAATTAAACTGAGTCAGGTAGGGAGATGCAGACTTCCGGGTTGGGGCCCTCGGGACTCTAGGAATCAATGGCTGGAGACAATAGGTGACATGGCTCAAAATCGTTGTCAATGGCGCAGATGTATTCAATCTCTGTAATCTTTCATATTCCTTTCTACCATTACCCATTCTGTTTCACTCTTATATTTGTCAAACTCTATTAATTCTCTTAACTCATCTTCTTGTCTACCTCTGTGTGCTATTTGGAACGTGGCAACTCGAACTGCTGCACTTCGGTGCCAAGTTCTATGTTGAATCCAGCCAGCCAGCCAACAATCGTATATACATGTGGTTTTTAAGAAGTTATATCCGGTAAGGGAATTGAATCGTAGGTGTGAATGCATAAAATAATAACAATAGTGGTATGAAATGCAATTAAAACTAAAATGTTTGTGATTATACTCATAGTTAAATGTCAGGTGGCAACGCAAATTAATGTCATATATAGAATAATTCATAGGATGGATAGAACTCGAAAAAAGGATGTGCAATTATAGGATTAGTAGACGAATCGAATAAGATAAAAACGTTACGTAATATTGTGTGGAATTTAATAGCATAGAATTTATCGTTGTAAAAAAGGATTGATTTAGAATGACAAGCGGAACAAGTGAAATAATACCGGGGACATTTCAAAGTGAGAGTAGTAATAGTAACAATTGACGTAATAAGGAAGAGTATACAAATTGAATAGACAAAATGAAAAATTGGTAGAGCTAAAATATGATTGGGGATTACCATACTTAGCATAGAGGGATTAAGACGATGAAAGTTGGAGGGGTTGAACGGACTTTCTCTGTACACAGAGATCTGGCTTTTCTGTTTCGATAGCCAAAGCTTCAGTAATACAGATGAGTCGGGTACGTAGGGATTCAAGTAAATTACTGTTTGCCTTGTAGATGACTTTAAAGGCGGAGGCTATAGAGATAAGGTGATCATTATCGACCAGATGTTCAATAATCGCGTTTCTTATTACTCCACTTCCACCTTTAACTAACCATGCAGGATAGTGTTCTTGTACCCTCTTGGTCAAAACTCGAGTCGAACGACCGATATACCTAGCTCCACACGAGCAGGTGAATTGAGTTAGTCAGCAGCGGGATCTTGTCCTTCAGGTTACTGAACAGTAATGATCGACTAGTAAAGGCTATTATCAGAGATTATAATCACAAACATTTTGGTTTTAATTGCATTTCATACTACTATTATTATTATTTTATGCATTCACATCTACGATTCATTTCCCTCACCGGATATAACTTCTTGAAAACCATATATATATATATATATATATATATATATATATATATATATATATATGGTACTGTTCAATAACCTGAAGGACAAGATCCAGCCGCTGACTAACTCTATTCACCCGCTCGTGTGGAGCTAGGTATATCAGTTGTTCGACTCGAGTTTGAGATAGACAGTGAGAAGACATTTCTAATACGGCTATAATATCCTCAAGGGATTTGTCTTTATTACTTAGATTACTCAAGTGGTAGTTCCATGCACGTTTCGTCTTTTGGGGGACTTGTCAGCTAGTTGTACTTACGTTCCCATTGATTGATGGTGTTCTCATTGAGAATTGAGCTCAGCACTCATCGTTTCAAACTCGAAAGCATTTTCAATTTGACCACTTCAGCCATGAAGGCAGACACACCCACCTGACGAGCCCCAACTAGGGCTAATCGCACATCTTGGATTGCACTGCTGGTCAGCATCAACTAAATTAATTTAAAATGTCCTTTATTTTGGCCGATTCATATTAAGTATTATTTGTTAGGCCTATTTTGCTAAACTCAAGATTAAAGCATCAGGTCTTTCAATGACATATTGGTGTAATTCACTGATTATCCCGATATACAAGAAGGGAGACAAGTCTTCCTGTGATAATCACAGAGGGATTAGCTTGACTAATATAGTATCTAAAGTCTTAGGCTCAATAATCATGCGTAGACTAAGTGATGCTCGGGAGGCACAAACACGAGAGAGCCAGGCAGGCTTTAGATCAGGAAGAGGGTGTATTGATCATATCTTCACCCTCCGACAGATTATAGAACATAGTCATTCCTACCGGCGTCCAACAGTCATTATATTTCTTGACCTAAAAGCAGCATTCGACTCTGTCGATCGGGAAGTTCTCTGGAGATGCTTGGCTGTAAAGGGAATTCCAAGGAATTTTATTGCACTGATTAAGGCACTCTACTCGTACTCATACAGCCAGGTGAGGGCCTACGGCGAGCTGTCATCTGAACTGGTGACGACCAGTGGTATCCGCCAAGGATGCCCATTATCCCCTTTTCCATTCAACTTCATCATAGATGTACTAATGGACTTCAGCGACTCAGGGATTGACTTGCTACCAGGGAATAATAGTCTCGTTGACTTAGAATATGCAGACGATATAGTCCTTCTAGGCGAAGACGCTGACGAAATGCAGAGTCTTCTAAACACCTTGAGCCGCAATCTACGAATGTTTGGCATGCGATTCGCCCCCGACAAATGCAAGATGATGTTACAGGACTGGACTACATCGACGCCTAGTTTAAAAATAGGAAGTGAAGTGGTAGAGCACGTTGACCGCTTCACTTATTTGGGAAGTACCATCAGCCAACTCCGACGGGATGATCTCTGACGAAATCTCAGCACGATTACAGGGGGCTCGTTTCGCATTTGCCAGTTTACGCCGACTCTGGCGTAGACGAGATGTTCGACTATCGACCAAAGGGCGGGTGTACTGCTCATCAGTCCGCTCCGTCCTCCTTCATGGCTGGTTGTGAGACCTGGCCACTGAGAGTGGAAGACATGAAAAGACTAGCTAGCTGTCTTTGTTCATAGGTGCCTGCGCTCTATTTCCCGTGTAAAGTGGCATAATAAGGTGAGCAACATGGAGGTTAGGCGTAGAGTTCTAGGTAAACAGGGGAAATCAATCGACGAAGTCGTGAAGCTACAAAGACTGAGATGGTTAGGACATGTGTTACGTATGCCAAGTCATCGCCTCCCTCGATGAGCAATGTTAGCGGATATAGGGTCAGGCTGGAAAAAAGCTAGCGGCGGTCAAACAAAAACTTGGCACCAGTCAATGAAATCTACAACAGTTAGTCTAAGCTATGTAGGAAGGTGTAGACTTCCAGGTTGGGGTCCTCGGGACGGTAAAAATCTATGGTTGGAAACAATTGGTGACATGGCTCAAAACCGTTCTCAGTGGCGCAGATGCATCCACTCCTTGTGACTTATTATCTTCAATGAAACTGTTTTGTATTTCTTTATTACTCCTTTGTCTCACACCTCTGCTCACTGTTTCTATTATGCTTTTCTTGTACTTTCTTCTCTTGCTTCGCGTGCTACACGGAATGTGGCGACTTGAACTTCCGCACATTTGTGCAAAGTTCTATGTCGAAAACAGACAGACAGATAGAACATGTCAGGCTTATTTTAACCACACACACGAGGAATAAGTTTGCTTACTATAATGTATTGATAATGTCTTTTCGTCATATTTTTCATTACTTCTCACTATCGATTTATATTTATTCAAGGTGTATTCCCTGTACCAGAAAAAGACCCAGTTATACAAATAGCTAACATGGTTACTAACTATGGTGAAACAACACCATTTATACGTAATGTATTTACACTGAACACATGTGCACCGATTGTTGGTTCTCAGGTGATATGTCATCAGACTGAACAGGAACTATTAGCTGTGAGTTTTAATTTTGTCGTGTATAATTTTCATAATTTTCTCGTATGTTTGTTGAAGAATCGATTGATTTCGTAACGAATTTCGTCGTAAACTGACATCAGCTAAAAGAGCCATTGGAAACAAAATAGTATGTTCAGTTTTAGTTGAACTCCCTTGATAGAAGCCATTTATGATCCATCCAAAGTTGTACGCTTTTCAACTTGATCTGCAATCTCCAGCTGCTTCGAGTTTCCGCTAAAGTGTAGTTATCACCCTATGTTAGTAGATGATGATAACACCTTGAGTAGAAATCTTGGAATATTTGGCATGCCGTCGAATGTAAGCTGAGGTTGCAGGACTGCTCTGCACTGACTCTTAGTTTAAAAGGCGAGCGTGTTGATCACTTCACTTGTTTGGGAAGTTGCATCTACCCTAATGGACTGATTTTTGAAGAAATCTCAGTACAGATATAAAGGGCTTGCGGGGCATTCACTAACTTACGTGATGTCAGGTTATCGATCAAAGGACGTATGTACTGTGCAGCACCTCGCTATATCCTTCTGTATGGTTGAGACATTAGTCGCTAAGGGTGGAAGAGACTAGCTGCTTACGACCACAGGTGTTTGCATTTTATCTTCCTTGTCTGGTAGTGTAATATAGTGAGTAATGTGGAGTTGAGGAATAGAGTGCTAGGTGGAGAGGAAGTTGTGAAGCTACATCGATTGAGATGGTTCGGACACGTGCTACTCATACCACCCCATTGCCTACCTTGTCGACTAATGTTAACTGACATAGAATTAGTTTGGAAATAGATTAGGAGTAGTAAATCAAACCTTGGAATCAACCCATGAAGTGTTTGACATTACATTTTAGCCAGCAACGTAGGGGTGGGGTGGATGTTCGAAGATAACCTGGTCGGGTTCCTCAAGACCTCTTGAGTCAGTGGCACAGATGCATCCATTCTTTTTAATCTCCCAGATCTATTATGTCTTCATGTTTTTCTATGTGACTATTCTTTATCCCGTTCGCTATAGTTCTTTTGATTTTTTGTTCTTTATCTATTTGTGCTGTGTAGAGTGTGGTAACTTAAAGTGCTGCACTTTTGTGCAAAGTTCTATGTTAAAAACTTAGTTTCATATGTAAATAATTGTCCTTATATAGCACATGGTCGATTCCTCTGAACACAACTTTCCACTAAAACTTGAGGAAATCTTTCTTATAGTTAGTTACTAATCTGTACGGAATTATTATTCATTCGTGAGATCTGCGTATTATTGATTAATTTCTTAACAGCTTTCCTTATAAATGGAAGTAGGGTATTATTATTATTTCCTTCAATTCCTAGAGGAACATAGGGCCTCAGCTGCACGTCTCCATTGCATTCGGTTCCTTGCTAGAGTTTTCACCTGGCTCCAGGTCTGCCCACATGCTTTCATCTTTTCTTCACATGACCTCCTCCAAGTCACTCTCACGCTGACGGCCAACTCGCTGCTTCCATTTCGGGTTCCACTCGAGCGATGGCTTGTCTAGTGATGTCACTTGATGGTTTCTTCAGAGTATGGCCAATCCATCTCCATTTCTTCCTGCATATTTGTTGCACAATTGGTTCCTAGTTGGTTTAGTCCCAGAGATCCATATTGCTGATCTTTTCTGGCCATCGGATCTTGAGTATTGAGCGAAGGCAGCTGTTGATGAAGGTCTGTAGTTTGTTTGAGATGCTCTTTATGACGCGCCAAGTCTCTGATCCGTATAGCAGCACTGACTGATTTCACATTGGAGTTGAAAACCCGGATGTTATTCTTGATGCTGAGTACTGTTGGCCTCCACACAGACTTGAGAGTAATGAAAGCTTGTCTTGCTTTTCCGATTCTTACTGTAATATCCTCATCAGTTCCGCCTGTAGTTGAAACTATGGTTCCCAGGTAAAATGGAAGTAGTGGGTAAGGGTCAATTAAATTATCCAGGCACAGAGATATAGAAAAATCTAGATTATTTGACCCCTAATAAGATAAGTAATCTGGAAAATAGCTCAGTTGTAGCTCAGTTACACACAAACATATAATAAAATGAGAGAGGATAACAGTGTTGACATCTAACATAACATGATGGAGGAAGAAATTGATAATTGATGGTTAACTTATCAAGCCAACTGAGAATACACATGCCATAGGAATGATTCAGCACACTTGTCCTGGGCATCTGGAACATTCTACTACCTCTATGAGAAGGAATGAAAGAAGAAAGAGAACTGTAATTCAGGTTTTGAAGTAGTTTACAATTGACGATGACATGATTGTAAATAATAAATAATTTGCGTTCGAAACTTCGGCATCCAGTGGCACAGTGGTTAGGACTCTGACCGACCATGCACATGGTCCGAGGTTCAATCCCCTGCCGACACACACCTGATATCTATGGTTGGCCTGCAAAATTTGGGCTACTGATATCCATGCTGAAAATTCCATACTTGTACCAAAATACAGTGTGGAATCAAGCTGTAATCAAAAATAAAATAATAATGTCCCACTGTGTCTAATATACATGTGCAATAAACAAATTAATATGAAGTTTCATGCTATCGCAGTGTCCAAGTTTTGCACACATATATATTAATTCAACTCCAGTTGTTCCCATCATTTATCGATTTCTCCGTTCGATTTGCTTTTATGTAAGTCAAATGTTGAATCAAATCAAACTAATTTCAGTTTCTCCATTGAATTTCTACTTTGTTTTCCTTATGATTATTATTGATTTTTTGTTGTTGAATGATTCATACAGAATTGGGCAATGTTTGTACGCGAAATTGATCCAGACATTATAACTGGTTATAATATACAAAATTTTGATTTACCCTATCTTATTAATCGAGCTAACGCTTTAAAAGTTGATAGTTTTGCATTTCTTGGTCGTATACGTGGTGCACGTTCTACTGTACGTGAAGCAATGGTACAGTCGAAACAAATGGGTCGTAGAGAGAATAAATTTGTAAATATTGATGGACGTGTACAATTAGATTTATTACAGGTAAATATTTGTGTTAAAACATTCTGTTAAACATGACTGAAAGTTATTTGTTTTCAAAATTTACGCTTGTGTTGTTGTGGTTCCATTTATTGAGTGTATGAAACACCAGTTGGTTCTTCTATTTAGGTTGTTAGATTTCTTCACATTACCCAACATCAATTAGTGAGATCATTGAAAACCAGGAAGCACTATAGACAGATGTTTCATCCTGGTTTGGGACTCTTCAGTAGCTCAAACCTACAGTGGCCCACCTGGGATTGAACCCCTGCGGCACTCAGGTTACAGGACCGAGCTCGTGTACCATTTGTAACCGCTTCGGCTGGAATCCATTGACCTGTAAATTCCAACTTTATCAACTCATGATATAACGCTACTCCCCCCCCCCATCAGTATTTTCTCTTACTGCTGTCATCCATAGGCATTCGTCGCCTTTTCTATTTACTAGTTTCATTTGTTATTTCTTCTTGTTAATTGTAAAGAAGTATAAAGATTAAGGTTGGGATTTAAATTTGGTTCGTGATAGGATTCAGGGTTGAGACCTTCATGTCCTAGTCTAGTGAAGTTAAGCTTTAGACACGCATCAACAACAACGTTGAAACTCTCAGTCGAAGCAAAGCAGTGAAACCAGGCAAATAACGTCGTATTCATAAGCTGTAAAAATATTAAACAGGATGTCTGATTAGCTTTGGGTTTTGTTAGGGAAAGATCATGGTTAAGTTTGGGATAAGGGGGACAGGTCAGGGTTAGGTTAACCTAATTAGGGAATTATTAGGGTTAGCTAGGTATATATTATGATAAAGTTGGGCATATATTAATGTTATGCCTAAGTTAATGATAGATTAGGGTTAAGTGAGTTTCAGGCAAAGAATGATACTCGGGGAATCTTCGTGTGCTCTTGGAAGTGTGTGGGCGGTTGTTACTTCCTGGCTGCCCACCGTGGAAGTTGGTTGATTCTTTGGCTACCTGAAATAGAAAGAGGGTTAGTGTTGCGGACAACTGCTTGAGGCCCTTCACACACGGCCTGTATGAATCGGTTTCTTGGTTTAGTTCCGTATTAGTAAACTTACCGCCGTTTACGGACCACCGTAGGGTAAGTCGGGATGTACTATTGTTGGGGTCGACCTTTTTCAGGCGAAAGAAAGGGTTAGGAATGTGAATTAGATTTCTAGCGCAATCACTCGTTTCAAAGTCACTGGTACGTCCTCACCTTTAGGGTGTCTAAAGTTTAGATTTGCCCTGCGTCCTGCTGTAACCCATGTTTTTATGCCTTAATTTCGTTCATTATCCCCGGCAAACATTTAGACCACCTATCATAATGACTTAATTGTTTTTATTCTCTTTTTACGTATATACCAAATGAATGCACGGATTGTATTTTGTTATTATTATTATTCACTCCTTACGTTCCGTGTAGAGCGTAGGGCTTTAGTAAAACACCTACACTCTACTCTCTTCTCTGCCATCATTTTCAACTGGCACTACAGCTGCCTAGAAGTTTTCATCTCTCCCTCACATTGTGGTGAGAGCAGGTTGCTAGCCAATTGGTAGACATTAATTTACGTCAATGGCTGTGTCGCTAATATTGGCCTTGAGAAAATATGAACAAGACTGATTCAACAACCAATCACAACAGACTTGACGTGAGCAAATACGATTCGCAGATATATATGGCTTAACTTTCTGAGAAACCAGTCACAAGCAGTACAGAATAACCTTGAGCAAGAAACAGCCAATCAGAAGACTGTGTTTGTCTGCTTGAACAAGCTATAATAATGTACATGAAATATATATAATACGTGTTGATTTCCTTAATAAACGATCTGTTGCCTGGCCCTTGTCTTCTATTGTTACAGCATGATCTTGTCCATGTCATCCTCAGATGGCCAACTCATCGCCTGCTTCCCATTTGGATTCCACTTGAGAGCCTGTCTGACGTGTGATGTCCCTTGAATGTCCCCTTATCATATGTCCAATATATGTCTCCATCTCCTTATGCACATTTGTTGGGTAACAGGTTCTTAGCTGGCTCTCTGCCTTTCAGAGTTCGTTCTTGTGCTTATTGTTTCTCACCAGCCGACTGTCTGATCTTCAGTATCAAGCAAAGAGAACTGTTAAACAGTAGTGTTAAAAAAGATCAACATTTATGGAAAGTTGTCGACATGATTGTCATTGAATGCCACTGTATTTTATCTGTTTTGTGTATGAGGAATAATTAAACTCTGTGGAGAATAGCTTGTTCAACTTGTATTCTATTCATACATGAAAATAATACTGAATAGGTTGAAGTATGCTTACAATATATCAAAGTGAGTAGCATTATGATTTATAACATTGCTGATTATTAATATAACATGAAACGTTAAAGCCTAGTACCTTTTAGCAAAAAATTAATATATTCATATGGTTTAACTTTTCAGTTTAGATCAATCTTATAACACCAAAGGTGTAACAAGCTATATGACTTAGTTATACAGAGACGATAAAATTTCTGGCCATATGGAGTAAGAGAGATCGTCTTCTTCTCTGATCCACTGTCGAACAAGCTGAACCCTCCTCTGTAAGGCCACCGACCTCTTTTCCAGATTTACTACTGCATAGACAGGGTATAAGTCGGTTTCAGGTAGGAATCGACTCCTGACCACATGTGTGGTCGGTGAGCATTGTAGATTTGTGGTGAGAGCTGTCTGTTAGTCAAACTGGTAGACAGAAATTTACGTCGACTTTTACGTCCCAAGTCTTGGAAAAAAACAAGAACGAAGACTAACTCAACAACCAATAACAACAGACTTTGCGTGGGCGGATACATTTCACAGGTATGTTGTTTGACCATCAAAGAAACAGCCACAAGAAGATGACAATAAATTTCAGCGTAGAAACAACCAATCAAAATACGCTGTTTCTCTGCAAACAATGACGAATAATAATGTACATGAAAATCCATAAATATCTGTTGATTTCCTCAATAAACGATCTGTTGCCTGGCCCTTGCCTTCTGTCATTGCAAATTTAGTTTAAAAGACAAATTGTGAGGAACTGAATGACATGATTGTATAGTATCGTTACAGACAAATAACATTGTTTCTCATATCACATTATAAAATCATTTAACTGAATCCAGATGATGAGTCCCAAATAGGACGAAACGCGCATCCTGGATTCCACTGCTAGTCACCATCCACCGATTACATTATAAAATCGTTGGAAAGACACTTTTTGCTTCCTGTATTATATATGTCTGTTCTCATCGTATCAGCTACATTAAACAGTCATATTATAATTGCTTTTTTTGTTTTTGTTGTTGTAGATTTTATTCCGTGATTATAAACTACGCAGTTATACACTGAATGCTGTTAGTTATCATTTTCTTGAAGAACAAAAAGAAGATGTTCATCATAATGTGATAACAGATTTACAAAATGGTGATTCACAGACACGAAGACGTTTAGCTGTTTACTGTCTGAAAGATGCCTATTTACCATTACGTTTATTAGATAAACTAATGTGTATTGTAAATAATATTGAAATGGCACGTGTTACAGGTGTACCGTTAACCTATCTACTAACTAGAGGTCAACAAGTAAAGGTTAGTATCCGGTGTTGTTTTTTGTTGGTTTTTTTCGTCTTATACTTTTCACTGTTAAAAGATTTGCTTTCAATAATTGAATAATTCACATGGACTCAATGGTCTACGAACTCGCTAGCCTTGTAACCAGAAGGTCCTGGGTTTGAGACCCTGTGGTGGTTGCGTACTACTGAGGAGTTCCAAACTAGGACGAAGCAAGCTGTCCAGTACTCCCTGGTGGTTTTCTAGTGGTTCTCTAACTGACGTCAGCTCATGATGAAATCCTCCATGCAATCAAACAAAAATCCCTACAAAACCAATACTTGAAAATTAATCTGACGCTCACTAGTGACTGGCCCTATTCAGGCAGTGACCTGGGGTTCTAGTGGGAAGCCGTGGCCAGTAGGATACAACAGGTTGAAGATGAGGCAGTAACTCATCGAAGAAGACATTGCAAAATGGTCGCGAATTGGTAGAAGTTAGAATTCAAGGACCATTTGGTCGGGTCTCAGTGGCTCAATCGTCTACGAGCTTGCCTTGTAATCAGAAGGTCCTGGGTTCGAGCCCCTGTGGTGGGTGTGTACTTCTGAAGAACCCCGGGCTAGGACGGAACAGCTGTCCAGCACTCCTAGGTTCTCCAGTGGTTCTCTAGCTGATGTCAGCTCATGATGAAATCCTCCATGCAATCAAACAAAAATCCGCACAAAACCAGTACTTGAAAAAACAAATATTCAGTAAAGAGACTCCTTTCAATGAACATTCATTATTCAGCTGTACAGTCGTATTTAAATTTTTTATTTTTTAGAATCAGCTTCCTATTAGAAAATTTGAACAAACGGTATGAGTTCTTGTAATAATAATGATAATAATACTAACAATAACAATAATAATTATAATAATGTGAAGTGCTATGATATGAAATGTTTGTGATCATAATCATATATCAATAATAAGCGATAAAACAAATAATGTCACGAATAAAATGTATTGATCTTGGAAAGGGATGTAAAATTAATACGACTAACAGGATTAGTAGGTAAATAAAATATTACATAACATGGAGAGGGAAGTTTGATAAGACAGATATCAGCATAGTGGATAATACTGAGAACTGCCCAACATATGAGAAAGGTACATGGGCTACATAAGGCCAAAACAACCAAGGTAGAAGTAGGGATTGCACATACTTATTCAGCTGTACAGTCGTATTTAAATTTTTTATTTTTTAGAATCAGCTTCCTATTAGAAAATTTGAACAAACGGTATGAGTTCTTGTAATAATAATGATAATAATACTAACAATAACAATAATAATTATAATAATGTGAAGTGCTATGATATGAAATGTTTGTGATCATAATCATATATCAATAATAAGCGATAAAACAAATAATGTCACGAATAAAATGTATTGATCTTGGAAAGGGATGTAAAATTAATACGACTAACAGGATTAGTAGGTAAATAAAATATTACATAACATGGAGAGGGAAGTTTGATAAGACAGATATCAGCATAGTGGATAATACTGAGAACTGCCCAACATATGAGAAAGGTACATGGGCTACATAAGGCCAAAACAACCAAGGTAGAAGTAGGGATTGCACATACTTCTTTTATATACAAAGATTTGGCTTAAATTTATGGATAGCCGAGGTCTCCTCTTCTGTCCTTAGAAATGTCGAATGAGGAGAACGTGGCAACTTGGCGTGATATCGATCGATAGATGATCTTAAAATTATGGTCAAGGTTGGTTGAGTGACATAAGTCGATCGAGTGTTCTAGAGCAGAGCTTTTCACACTCTTCCTTTCTTCCTTGTAAGACCATCCTGGAATGTACACTCGTATCCATGTGTAAAGCACTTTCCGGTTACGACCAATGTACCTTGCTCCACCGGGTACTCCTTTCATAAACTTAAGAAATATATATATATATATATATATATATATATATATTACAAGTCTCATACAACACAGAATTTACCAATCTGGTGGTGATCAGTTGGTTACTAAAGGCTCTGGTTAACATGTTACTTGAATTGTTTCTTCACATCTCTTTGTGTTCTGAGAGGAACACAGCGCTCCAGGTTTAAAGTCCAGGTAACTGTGGTGTCGTTTCTTACGAATCAAGTTTGCTAGTTCAACCTCCTCTTTTTTTCTGGGCTGACTTTTGGTTAGTTAACTAGTCGAGGTTTATGGGCGCACTGGCTATGGAGTAAACCCTGGACCATGTACATGGTTGGAAATTTCCTGTAGCTACTTAAAAGTAATGAGTAGTATAAAAATATTTCAAAAACTTTCGTGTCTTGTTTTAATTTCTTATAATATTTTCTATAGGTTGTATCTCAATTATTACGTAAAGCTCATGAACATGGTTATTTATTGCCTACATATCAATCACAACAAGGTGATGAATTTGTTGGTGCAACAGTTTTAGAACCACGTAAAGGTTATTATAATGAACCGATAGCTACATTGGATTTTGCTAGCCTATATCCAAGTATTATGATGGCGTATAATTTGTGCTATACAACTTTGTTACAAGTAAATACAACGCCTCATGGTTCAACAGGCGGTGGTATTCAAGCACTAGTACAACGATATAATTTAACTGATGAAGATTATATTAGAACACCGACTGGGGCGTATTTTGTTAAATCACATGTGCGTCAAGGTATTCTACCGGAGATCTTACAACAGTTATTAAGTGCTAGAAAAAAGTAAGTGTACTTATATGACTGTTATGTGTAATTGTAATTTTTTGTAATTTTCCAACTGGAATTCAGTTCGTGAAGACTGACAAACTTTACTATGTAACACTCCGTTGGGAGAATGGGTGTTGAGGTTGATTAGACTTTTTAAGTGACTTCTTATACTTTTAAGTCAATGTTTCAGGGTCCTGACATGCGCGTTATGAAAGACATTTCCAATAGCCTGCTGTAGAATTTCACCATCAGATGATCAGTTCGAAAGTGTAAGCAGCAAGGAACTCTAGTGGTGAACCAATCAAGAACCTATCGCTCAACAAACATACAGAAGAAAGTAGGAATGGATAGGACATACGCTGAGGAGTCTGTTGGAGGACATCATCTAAAAGGCCTTCGAGTGGAATCAGAATGGGAAATGACTTTTTGGGCCTCCCAGATCGTGTGAGGTGGAAGTGAAAGCGTTTGGTCAATCGTGAAGCCACTTGAAAAGGACTGCTGCAGAGAACAAGGTGGAATGGAGTTGTACTGCTGAAACTATATGTTCAGCTCCGAACCCAAGAGATTAAAAAATTAATTTACTCTTCTAACCAGTAAACTGAGAAATTATGAGAGAAATTATGTATTCAATATCAACTACCTGAACTACAAATCTTCCCCATTAATTTGTGAATTTACCTAGAATGATAGATATTGCTAAGATAAGTAATCTGGAATTCAATTGAATTACACATATGCGTGCATTTCCCACACTCACGCACTCGTTTTCCCCTGATTAATTCCTAGATTACAGTGATTGAGGGAAAATATTGATCAAAGATTATACTGTTAAACACTTAACCTCATTATTTCATAACTACTTCATTAGCTTACGATTATAACATACATGTCTATGCAATTCTTTACGTTGATGTTACATTTTCATGGAGTTTTGTATCGTTTCCATCCAATCTAATGCTTAATTTATTAGTAGTATTTGCGTTTAGAGCGTATGTACACAACTTTGTATATTTTGTGCCCTATTGTATAAGTAAGCTCCCGCCAAATGCAAGATGATGTTACAGAACTAGACTACACCGACTCCTAGTTTAAAAATAGGAAGTGAAGCGGTAGAGCACGTTGACCGCTTCACGTATTTGGGAAGTTGCGTCAGCCAATGCCAACGGGTTGATCGCTGACGAAATCTCAGCACGGAAATAGGAGGCTCGTTTGGGATATACCTGCTAAATTACGCCATCTCTAGCATACACGTGATATCTGGTTAGCTGTCGCCCAAAGGAAATGTGTACTGTTCAGTAGTTCGCTCTGTCCTCCTTTATGGCCAGCTGTGCGACCTGGCCACTGAGAGTGGAAGACATCAAAAGATTAGCTGTCTTTGATCATAGGTGCCTGCGTTCTATCTCCCGTGTGAAGTGGTATAATAAGGTGAGCAATATTGAGGTTAGGCGTTGGTCGAGTTCTAGGTAAGGAGGGGAAATCAATCGACGAGGCTGTGAAATTACATAGACTGAGATGGTTAGGACATGTGTTACGCTTGTATACCTAGTCATCGCCTTCCTAGACGGGCTATGTTAGCGGATATAGGGTCAGACTGGAAAAGAGCTAGCAGAGGTCAAACCAGAACATGACTTCATCAGTTAATGAAATCCACAACAGTTAGTCTAAGCCACGTAGGAAGTTGTAGACTTCCTGGTTGGGGTCCTTGGGACGGTAAAAAACCAATGGTTGGAAACAGTTGATGATATGGCTCAAAGTGATCGTTCTCAATGGCTGGCGGAGATGCATCCACTCGTTGTGACCTATGATTTCCAATGAAAATGTTTTGTTCTTCGTTATTACTATTCTCCTTTGTCTCACACCTCTGTTTACTGTCTCTAATATGCATTTCTTGTACTTTCTTCTGTTGCTTTGTGTGCTACAAGAAGGGAGTGTGGCGACTTGAACTGGTGCACATTTGTGCAAAGTTCTATGTCGAAAACAGACAGACAGACAGATTGTATAAGTAAACCAACTATCCAACTCAGAGAACTCAACTAGATCAAAATCATCCACCTGAGCTACAAATATTCATTTATTTCTAATTCAGTTAAATATAAAGGCGAAGATTTCAAAAGAAAGTATAAATTAATGAAATAAAATGCTTTCTTTAATGGTAAAATGACGAGCTACTTCAAAGGTCATTTGTAACAACTGCATCAAGTATTTTTATTTATTAAAACACAAAACTTGACACATTGTCGACGCCAAGATAGTTTGTGTGATGACTGAAATAACTGCTCGGATACCTAGACCAAAGGAGATGGTTGTCATAAGGGGCCACCTCCAAGCCTTCGACTTAAATTCTGAATCACAAGGCAGTAGAGCAGGTACGATTATTATTTTTATGTGGCGTATCCCTTTTTTGAAGTGGCGCCACTTGCTCTATCCGGTGGGTATTAGGGTATTTCAATAAACAGGCCAAAATAATACGTTTAGTTATTGAAATTACTGTATTCTTCAGCCCACTACATTGCTCAGATATCAGTATCAAGGAACATTTTCTGATAAAAGTGCAGCAAATGTGTACCGCAGTTGAAGAATATAACGCCACTGATAATATGTATGCCAGAAAAAATTCTTAACGTAAAATTTCATTCAAAAGGCGTACAAAAAATTTAACTTGTCATTAAACCACCAAAGCAATTGATTACGATACTACAATTAGTTGGGATGTGTCATAAAGCCACTCGTAGGTCAGCGTTAGGAGCTGCATTCCCATGATTATCGGTGACCAAATCAGGTGCATACGTCTTTCAATCCGTGTAGATTCTGCAGGCCATGTTCACCATATTTTTGGGAATGTGGGTTTTCCACCCCACCCCCACCCCCTCCAAGTATAGTCCTACATGTCCACCAGTCTGGCTGTAAGAGCTAGGTGTTCGCATTCGCTGTTCCACTTTTGTGAGGAACACTCCGCTGTGCGAAGTTAATGAATAGGACTTATCTGATAGGTGTTATGAATATATACCCACGTAAAAGCATTTCGACATTGATGTCTATCCACCCTCGGCTGTACCGAATCCTTTATGGGGTCCCAGTAAGGTATCTCTAGAAAATTGTTTTTTCCCACATGCTTCTTTCAAAATTCACTTACTTGGAGTAGATTCTTCATATACCATGAGCCACACCAATCGCGTGACAGCTGATTATTCTACTTAGATCCTGAGGCTGAAATAGATTGCCGGGATTCACACTGTGACACATCCACCGACTTCGTATCCCGTCGTCTCCACCCCATGCCATTGGAAGAGAAAGGAATAAACCATAATGTTAAATAGAACTGATAACGGGTTTGTTTAATTTATGAGATGATATTCTGCTGTACAGCAATTTTAACATCAATGTGTGTGTGTGTGTCGGGGCGGGGGGGGGGTGAGAAGTGTTCATAAGTTGTGGTGTATAAAACCACTCCTAAATGACAATTTTTTATAGATAACATCAGCTACCGAACAGTGAACAATGAACATTTTGCTTGTAGTTTAACAGTCTTTCGTAAATAGAATGCTGACTAAAAAGGCCACTTACATAGGTAGTAATGACAAAACTTGACACTTAGAATCATAGAAGTAAAAGTACACAGTTTATCTATAATGGAATGAAACATAGTGAAAAGTTAGGATTGATCACTAACTGACTTCACTTAGAGAACCATTAAAAGCCAGCATGAAGTATCGGATAAGTGTTTCGTCCTTGTTTAGGACTCTTCATCGGAATTTGAAATTTGTGAGCCATTGGATTTCGTCCCAGTATCTCAGTGACCAACGAGTTCACCTTGTGACCTGAACGTTCTGCGTCCGATCCCTGATGGGGTCATACGTGCATATTACTGAGCATTTACAAACAAGGACGAAACAACTGTCGAATGCTCTCTGCTACTAGTGGTTTCAAGTGGTTCACTAAATAAAATCACTGCTAACCACCAACAATTCAAAATAGACCAAAATACTGGACATTTTCGTCGTTTCAAAACTAGGACGTCGAAAAATCTTATTTTCCATCTTTGAAATAGTTTTGGCAAAGATTACCCATTAAAATTTCCAAAAGTATGGTTGTTGAACCAAGAATATTCTTTTCAGTAACTTCATCATCAGGTTCTATAGTTATATATATACGTAATAGTCAATGAATTAGAGTTACTGACAACACTAATGTTGTTTAAATAACATCAAATCAGGAATTATATCGCTGGGTGACAGTTAGATGGCATCGACATAACGATACATTAAGTATTAGAAAAATTAGGAAAAATAATGATTATACAAATTCGTGAATTTATAGTCTCCACTGAAGACCGGCCAGGGCAGTAGTAGTGGCTTGAATTGCTTCTTCTTCTTCTTCACACAGAGCACCTGTTGTTTCAAGTGAATCGCGATAGCCCCTGCTGTTTGGAGTATGCTGTACTTGGATGTTTTGGCAATTTATTTCGTACGTGGTAGATGATAGAGAGCCTTCATCAGGCTGAAATCTGTTTGGAAATCTTCCGCACTCAACATGGGGAACAAGATTCGCATCTTCAACACGAATGTGATGTTGGTCACTGCTTCTATACGGGTGAGAAACTTGCATTGCGTGTCACGAAAAAGATTTCCAACAGACTACTGCAGATTTTCATCAACAGCTGCCTTCCTTGGCTCCATACTGAAGATCAAATGGCCAGAAAGCATAAGCAACAAAAAACTATGGGAACAAACTGACTAAGAGCCGATCGCTCAACAAATAGGTAGGAGAAAGTGAAGATGGATCGGGCATACATTGAGGAGGCCACCGAATGATATCGCACGCCAGGCCAACGCTGGAGTGGAATCCAAACGGGAAGTGACTAATGGGTCGTCGGTGAGTGGGTGACATGGAGGAGATCGTGTGAAGAAGAAATGAGAGAGTTTGGTCAACCGTGGAGCTATTCAGCTGAAGATGACGGCAGAAAACAGAACCAAGTGGAGATGTGTTATTGAAGCCCCTATGTTCTACTCGGAACG